TAAATATACTGGCCACATGGACCAACATAGTTTCTGTGGTTAATCTGACGCTTTTTGCCTTGGATCCCAGGAAGCTCAGGGCTAAATTTATTATTCCGGAGTTATGCAATCCAATTACCTGTTCAAAGAAAATCCAGTCTTCCTAGTTGTTCAACAGAGACAACCTTTTCCCAGAATGAAATTCTGAAAATAATTAACAAAGATACCAAACCTCAGAAAGTGCACTGTAAATATTAGACTTTACATTTATTCAGTCAATACCTATTTATTGAGCAAAATGTCTGTGGTTGAGAATGTTGGGAATACGGGATGAACAAAGCTAACAAAGTAGCTGCCCTTGTGAAGTATATTTTAGTGAATGCAAACACACAATATATAATAAACAACACCAAGAAAATAAATAATTAAAGATGAGATAGTAAGTACATGCTTGAAAATGATGGGGGTGGGGGTGTAGAGAGGGGTGACACTACCTTGGAAGGTCAAGAAAGCATCTTTGTAAAGTAACATTTGAGCCGAGAGCTGAATGGCAGAGAACAGAGACCCTGACAATGTTTGAGGGAAGAAAATATCCCAAGCAGAGGGACCAGCAGAAGGAAGAGCAAGTGCAAATGTCCTGGGGACAGGAGGGACCTTGGCACTTTGGAGGGAATGAAAGAAGAGTGACAAAACATAAAATGAGGAAGAGATGGATATGAGATAAGAGGTGAGAAGCTAGATCATGGAGATTGGAGGTTCTCACTCTGAGCTCTGCATTAGAATCGCCTGGGGAGCTCTTGACAATGTACCATGCTCTAGAGATGCTGATGTAATTGGTGCAGGGTGAGGCCCAGATGGTAGTTTGTTTCAAAAGCTCCCCAAGTGATTCTACAGAGCACTATGGTGAGAACCAGTGGCATGGGTCCTTGTGGACCAGCACAGGAAGTCTACTTAATGTTGTGGGAATCCGTGCGATGATTTTAAAAGTCTTCTCTGCTGCTGGGTGGTGTATGGATCTAATAGGACAAGAGTGGAATGAAGGAGTAGGGTATACCTAGGAAGCCTTGGATATGTGGGGCCCTGGGCCAGTCTTTTTTCAGGGCCTCTGTCTATATAAGTGATCTGAGTCATCCAAAAGTCAATGAGCCAGCACTGCTCAGGTGGCCAGAACTCACAGGATCCAATGAAAGAAATAATGCAGTGGCCACAGGGAGTGATCTGCTTGCCAGCCTGCACTCCTGGAACTATGGTCAGGCTGTGGGCACCAGGATGACTCCACAGGTCTGAGGTCTGGAACTCCTTGGGACATCTGGTCTACTAATGTGTGTGATGGGTTAGGACAGAGGCTTGGAGAGGAGGGGACTGTGACTTAAACAAGTCCGTATCTGGACTCAGGGTGCCCAGTGGCACTGCTGGCCCCACCTGGTTCCAGGAACTAGAAGGGGACTTAGACTTACAAAATTTCAAGAAATGACTCCAAAGCACAGAACCCACTGAGGCCCAGCACCTGAACAGGTCTAAGGATGACACTGGGAGAGAGACCAGGGGTGAAGGTAAGAGATGATGGCAGCCTTCAGGAAGGGAGAGGCAGAGCATAGATGAAAGTGGATTGATCCAGCATCCAGGTTATACTGGGGAGGCCGAGCCATTCTTAGGAGTGGTATTTATGACAGTGGTAGTCATCGGGGCTGTTGAAAAATGCTTGGTTTTTTTGTTTGAGGATATATAATAGAATCACACTTCTTTGCTCACCTGAACTTGTGTGTGGCCATGTGAGTGGCTTCAGCCAATGAGATGTAAAAGATAGTGACTCGGCATGTTGAATAGAAGTTCTGAGACAGCTCATAGTTTGTCATGCTTTCCCTCTACCTGTGAGATAGAGCCTCCAGAATAGTCCACAGGGTGACTGCACTGAACAGACATCCCCCCACCCCACACTGAATGTGCCCCATGAGTGAAAAATCAGCTGTGTTGCTGGAAGCCTCTGAGGTTGGGGGCTGGGGAGGTATTTGTTACAGCAGCATTGCCAAGGTTATCCTGACTGACACAGCTACTCTTGGCTGGCCAAGGCTGGGGTCTCACCCACAGTATCCTCTTGTCCTTGGCTCACTGGGGTGCCTTCCAAGCCTTATCCGCCTGGCAGGATCCCAGCCTTATAAGGCAGCCATTTTCTGGGCCTTCACGGTCCCTGGAAGGAAAACAGAGAACATGGGCATGGCCCTGACCCTGCAGGCTGGCCAGCCTGGGCTCCTGCGCCCCCTCCCCGGCTGTGGGCTCATTAGATGAAAGTGCTATCAGCTGTCAGACAAACTGCTAGAACTGTGATAAATTAATGATCAAATGGTACAGTCGGCGCAGCTACTGTACTGGCTCGGCTAGTTACAAGCCGGCCGGGTGCTTAAAAAATGCAGCCGGCATTAAAAAAAAATCAGGTGTTAAAGGAAAATGTCACCCGGCTTTTCAAAAAGGATCTGTTTTAAAATGACCACAGACAGCTTGGTTTCAGAGTCTTTATTTGATTCCTGTTCTTTGTATTTTGTTTTATTGCTCACAGGGAAGGAAGTGGGGTGATGGTGAGGGCAGCGGGTAGGGTAGAAGGAAGGCTGGAATTTCTGACAGTTTTCACTAGCCTCCTCCACTGTGCAGTGTCTGACAGGGGATTAAGCCCCTCTTGACAAACACAGAGAGATTCTTCCCAGGGCCTGGATGGATTGACAATCTGAGCTGTAATTACTATACAAATATAATAGTTAACATGTTTTTTTTGTATTAAGATCTTTGCTTTCTTACTTCATTTCCTCACCCTGATAGCTTTGCTAGAAGGATAGCAATATCCCAATAAGTCAGATAAGAAAACTGATACTCAAAAAGTTACCTAGGTTAAGGTTCTTTGAGTGCTAATTATGTATACTTGACATGCACCATTCCTGTGATTGCCACGATGGCCCTGGGTGGATGCTACGAGGACCTGCACTTTATAGGAGAGGAAAAAGAGGATCAGAGAGGTTAAGCCACTTGCTCACAATCATACAGCAAGTAAATGGTAAACAGTTGACAGTTGTTCCTGGCTCCTGGGACCCTGGAATCTCATCTCTGAAGGCCCCTGGAGATAATTTCTTAAAAGAAACTGGAATAAGACTTCTCTTGACTTGAGAGCCCAGGCCCAAACCTGGACTCCCAATCATGAATGTTCCCTCTGTGAGTGTGTCAGCCCTGCCCGGCCCTTCCACCTACGGGTTTATGAGCTTAATTTATTCTTTTTAATATAAAATCTCATTACCTGAACACGATAGCACCACTTCCACTTTATCTTTGATATAAGAACAGAGAGAAACCTAAATCAAACCTTTAAATAAAGTCTATAATCATGCTGCACTTTCACTTGCTTTTCATATTTCCAAACAAAATTAAGTCAAAATACCTCGAGGAGAGCAGTGTGGGAAGGGAAGGAGAGTAGGAGGGGGAGACCCCCGCACGTGGTTTGCCTGGGCAGCCACAGGGGATGTGATTACTCAGACAAGGAGAACATCTTCTGCTTGATGTTTGGCTCCTGCTATTCTTTGGCCCCCTGGCCCAGGTTTGGAGAGGGAATCGAATGAAGTCCGCCCAAACCGGTGTGTGCCTGGGATTGATCTCAAAAAGCCATTTGCCTCACCTTGATGTATTTTTCAAGGCATTTCCTATCCAGCGTTAATTTTCATAAAGGGGAAATTGATGATCAGTTTAAAGAAACACAGTCAAAGGTTTTTATTTCCCAGGAGTCTGGGGTGGGCAAGTTGAGGCCAAGGAGGGTCTTGGCAGCTGAGGGTGGCAGGGGTTCGTGGGAGAAGGAGCTCCTTCCTGGCCTCTGGAAGCACAGGTTTGGAGCACAGAGAAAGAGAATTTCAGGTCTGCTGCTTCCCTGCCAGGTAACCATGGGCAAGGAATGTCAGAGCCCTGGGCCTCCCTCAGTTTCCCCATCTGTGAAATGGGGGTGAAAACCCCACCTCCTCCAAGAACTGTGCACATGTAATTAAAATAACCTGTGGACAAGTGCCCAGGCCCCATGCCCACACACGGGGTAACTGACAATTGCTGTCAAATCTGAGCACAAAGAGCTGGATCCCTTGTTTCCTTTCTCTGGCACATCACTTATCTTGGGATCTGCCTGAAGTGTCCCCTCTTCTAGGAAGCCTTCCTTGATTTTGATAACAGATCTGAAACATCCACGGTTTTGCTGTCTTTAGGCCTTAGGTAAACAGCACACATCATGGCAGCCTGAAGGGGGCAAGCAGGCTCTGGCTCCAAGCCCTGGCTCAGCACGTCCTCCCTTGTGACCTTGGGAACGTCGCTTAGCTTCTGGTACCTCAGTTTCTTTTCTGTAAATCGAAAATATTTTTTACAGAATCCTGCGTTATAGCTGTTGTTCAGAATAAATGAATTAATTGATGTTAAAGTACTTAGAAAATGCCTGACACATAACAAATCTTGATCAAGATTAACCAGTCATATCATCAATATTATTACTAGCATCCCTCAAAGCAGTTCAGATGCATACAGCTCTGTGTGTACGTGCTTGTGCATGTGTTTGCGTGTGTGCGTGTGTGTGTGTGTCAGTGTTACGTTGGTATCTATATTAAAGTATACTGTACAAACAGAAATAAGAATTGTCAGAAACACACAGTTCCAAGAATTTCTGCAAAGCCTACACACCTGTGTAACCAGCTTCCAGATCGAGACACCAGCAGCCCCTCACAAGAGCCCCTTCTGTCCCCACCCCACCCCCTGAGGCAGTCTCCCGGAGGACAGAGCTGGAATAGACAGGATGCTGGAAGGTGCCAGTAGGATGAACCAGTTACACAAATACTTGACCCCGTGGTGGAGGAGGCCTAACGCCCTCACTGATGGTCTGTGAGGAATAGACCCCACTGGTCTAGGCTCTGTCTCCGCCTGGCTGTGAGATTAATCCCTTCCTTTCTCCAAGCCTCAATTTCCTCTTCTACACAAAGAAGCAGTTGGTTGAGATCACCTCTTCCAGCTCTCAGGATATATTCAGTCATTCATTTACTCAAATATTGGAGCATCTAATATGGGCTGGGTGCTGTTGCAGTGCTTGAGATACAGCAGTAAACAAAATTGATGCCCATCTTTGTCCTTAAGAATAGTACATTCTAGGAGAAGGAAATGGAAATAATTACTAGACATAATAAATAAGTAATAAACATGATTCTACGATTCTAGGGGAGAGCCCCAGCTGGAAGCTAAACGGTAGCCACCTACAACACCTCTCTTCTTCTCCATCTGCCAGGTCTGTGCTGTGCCTGGCCACAAGCGGCTTCAAAACTGATTTTCCTGAATCCTGTTCCCTGGAGTGTGAGTGTCAGTCTCTCCCTAAGGGGATGGAGGTGCCGGGAGAGATTTTTCCCATCTACATCATTTTTTCCAATTTGCCCAAATGAGGACAAACTATTTCAGACATACAAAAGAAAGAGTGGTAGAAATGAACAACCTCAGCTCATGAGATAGAGTTGAAGCTTTTGTATCCCTCTGTGGCTGCATGGACATATGATTTCTGCCGAGAAGAAGTTCAGCCCCGACCCATTGTGCTCTCTGGATTTGAAGGAACCAGTTCCCACATTCCCACATCTGCCAATTTTCCGGAAAATGAGCACTTTGCCCTAGGGGTCCCCTGCTTTCTGCCCTCATCGAATGCATGGAGGCCCTGGAGAACATTCTCTCTGCAGGAGGAGAGTGCCACTGCCTACCTCTCCCACAAGTAGGGGTTGGTGACCACAGACTGAGCTGGGCAGATGCGGGCCCTTGCTCTGGCCCAGTCTGTAGGGAAGAAATGATAAGAGACTGGTGGATGGCAGAAGCGAGTCAGGGGAGACCAAGAAAAGTTTGACCTTAAATACCTTAAACGGTCCTTGAGTAATAGGATCAGGGGTTGCATTCCAAATATGTAATGAGTGCATCACACAGGCCCCAACAGGCTTCCTGGAGCTCTGGGTGGCCCATGCTGGGCCAGGCTTTCCCCTTTCCTTTCTGCAATTGTGGGAAATCCAGGGATCCTAAGGAGGGCCTGAGCTGTGGGGTCAGAAGGTATGCAAAAGCTTGAGATGGCAGCTGATGGCCAACTGGTAAAATATATTTTAATATTTCAACAACCATGTGACCTGGGCTAGAATGGCAGAGACATGGGCTTTGATCACAAAGCGCCAACAGTGGTCTTGGAGGAAGAACTTTAATGTAGGGCACTTGAATACAGAAACTCCTGTTCCACCCTAAGCTTTGAGGGTCAAGCTTTACTCAGAGCACAAGAAGAAGGCAGAGTTCTCACAGGGGCAGCCATTTCAGCTGTCACCAGGGCACTGCTTATGTAAGGTTGCTGGTTGCCTGCCTACAATCCACAAACCAATGTGTTGGAAACATGGCATGTTTTCTTCAAAAACTGTCATTAGTTGGCAACATTTCTAAATGGGTATATTTCACATAAACATCTGAACTTCTTCTAGTTTCTCTTAGGAGATCAGAAGATGGGGCAGCTGCAGGCCCAGTGCCAGCCCTACTCAATGCCAGGAGCAGGTAGGGGCTGCTCCCCCAGATTGTGTGCACCCTCCAGGTCCCCAAGCCCCTCCACTTGTTTGTTTCCTGCTTCTGTCACCTGAGTTTGTCACCCTTGAGAAAATAGAAAGAGCAGAGGATTTGAAGCCAGAAGAGCTGGATTACTGCTTCAATTCTGGACATACAATCTTTTAGAATCTCAGTTACTCCATCTGTAAAATACAGGTCATAATAATTTCATCCAGGGTAGTTATGAGAATCAAGTAAGATTGTACAACTCACTGAGAAGTGAGGCAGTCTGGGGATAAAGAGCAGAGGCATCAGACTGCATTTCAATCCTGGATTTGTCACTGCCAGGCTGTATGACCTTGGACATACCCTTTAAGCTTCCTGTGCCTCACTTTCCTCAACTGTAAAATGGGTATGATAAAGGGTCAAGTTGGCAGGCTGTTAGGAAGATTCTGTAGTTGACACAGTTCTTAACAGTGCTCAGAGTGGTGCCACATCATATGTACTCAATACATGTGCACAATGATTACTATTACAATGACTGCTACAATTATATGACTTGCTTTTCCCTTGCTTATGCCACTGGATCTGGGCAGAAGATCTGTCTTTGGAACGTTGCAAGAGCAATTGCTTTCTTTTCGCCCCAGAATATTACCCCCAAGGGAGGACACATCTTACATTGAAAAATTATTTAAAATGATTTGATGTCAGTGAATGAGTCCATCACTGAGAAGTCAGTTAACGACAATTATCGTGTTCAACTCTTTGATGGTACATTTTATACAATTCCCCCAAATGCTTTAAGAATCAGAAAACCTGCTGGTATAATTGCTTTCCACTCACCCTTTAAACATCTTCCGAGGACATCCTTTGCTGTGAGCAGACCAGGAGGCTGCATCCTGGGGACAAAAGGAAAAAGCTGAAACCGGCAACCCCAGGCATCTCCCATGAGGGCCTTAACCGGCTGGAAAGCTGCCTGGACTGTGAGCTCAACCCCTCTTTTGTCTCACAGCAGTAACATGATGATACCCCTTGCATTCTGCAACAAAAGTAAGCTCTTGCCCTTGCCCAGAAGTGATATGGGGAGAAGTCATCTTAATGGCCCACCTCAGACAGGAATGAAATGAGCAGGATGACAAATGCAGGTCAGGCAGCCTGGGAATTTGGTAAGGATAGAAACCAATCAGATGCTTCCCTCTGGGATGAAAATCAATTCCCCCAATGTATTATGCCTCCTCCTCACCTGTGTCCCTGTTTCCAGCAGGCTGAGCCCACGGTGGGTGCCTTTGATGTCCAGCCAGTGGCCTCATGGTCTCCACTTAGTTAGAACTTACTGCAAAACACGCCAGCCCCGGCAGCATGAGCCATTGTCATTTTTGTCCTGGAAGAGAAAAGCAGAGAACTAAAACAGCTCTAGGAGATCCAAACAGGGAATATTTAAAATACCAAGGGATCAGGAAATGGGGCTGGGGCATCTCTTTAATTTGCTTCCCTTGGGGCAGCAATAGGAAAGTCTTGTAGCGCTCTGGGCAGAAAGGGCCCCAGAATATGGGATGGTCTGGGATCCAAGGTGCTGCTGGCATGAGGCAGGACTGGGAAGTTGGTAAAGAGCAGCAAGTTTAGAAAGGTCCCCTCCTCCCCAAACCAAAGATAGGTCACTGGTCACAAACTCAAGCCATGCACTGAGCATCTTGCTTGAATGCAGACTGTGATTCAGCAGGTCTGGGTGAAGCCTAAGTACCCGCATTCCCAGTAAGCTCCCTGGGGAGGCTGGTGCTACTGTTCTGAGAGCCACACTCCCAGTGACAGGGCTCAGAGGGCTTGTCTTGAAGCTGTAATTGCACAGTTCTTACTAAAATTGTGCCACATTTGGGGGGGCCTCGGGGTATCTGATGGAGATTACCAAGGGGCTGCAATCCTTCATGACTTCCCTTTGTTTTCAGAATCAAGTTCAAACTTCTTCCTAAGACTTTTGGAACCTGCAGCATCCATCCTGGACTCCTTTCTGGCTTACCAAGCCCAGGCCCATGCCCTGTCCACCTCAACTTTACAGCCCAGAGACCACCCATCTGACCTGCTTACAGTGTCTGAACACCTCCACACTCTAAGACTTCCGGGTCTTCACACATGCTGTTCCCTCTGCATGGAAATTCAACGCCCATCTAGCTGTGTGGTAAACTTATATGCTTTCAGATTTCAATTCAGATGACCCTTCCCCCAGGAAGCCTTTCCTGATTATGATGGTGAAGTATGTGTCAGTTTGACTGGGTCATGGAATGACCAAATATTCGATCCATCATTATTCTGGATGTGTCTGCGAGGGTATTTCTGGACGCTGGCACTCTTGCAAGTAAGGGCCAGCTCCTGCTGCCTGACTATCTTTCCAACTGGGAGAAAGTTTTGGCTTTATTTCCTGCCTTTGAATTTAAACTGAAACATCAGTTTTGCTTGGGTCTCTAGCCTGTCAGCTTTCAGACTGGAACTTATATCATCAGCTGTCCTGGGTTCCAGTTTACCAACTTCAGATCTGGGGATTTGTGAGCTGCCATAGCCACGTGAGCCAATTCTTTATATTATATATGTAACATACATACTATGTATCTCCTGGTGGTTTTGTTTCTCTGGAGAAACTTAATGCACTGACCCATCCAGGAATTTCCTTCTTGTTTCTTCTTTTTCTTGTATTTTTAGCTTATACTGGGGATTTCATCTTATACCAGCAAAAATACCTTAGTTTGATTTTAGAGCTGCCCTATCCAATAATATAGCCCCTAGCCATGTGGGGTGATTAAGAACTTGAAATAAGGACGTGTGAATTGAGATGTGCTGTAACTATAAAATACACATCAGAATTTGAAGACTTAGTATAAAAAAAGAATGTAAAAATCTCATTAAAAATTTATTGTATTGGTTACCTATAGAAATCATAATAATTCTGATATATTGGATTTGATCAAATATATTAATGAAATGAATTATACCGGTTTCCCTTTCCCTTTCTAATGTAATTATTGGAAAATATTAAATTATGCATATGCCTTAGGTTTATATTTCTATCAGACAGTGTTGCTCCAGGACAAGGCACAGAGTGAAAAGTCCAGATCCCATGATGATGAAATTTGCTGAAAGTTTCCAGAACCTTCCAAGTTCCAGGAGTTGAATTCCCTCAAGATGGTTTCATAATAAAAAATATCTTAGGGTACTAGCAGAGGCGGAGGCAAACTACAGCCAGTGGACTGCACCCAGTCTGCCACCTGCAGTATTTACATATCATCTAAGGCTGCCTACACGCTACAGTGGCAGAGTTGAGTAGCTGCAACAGGGCCTGTCTGGCAGGTGCAGCCTAAAGTATTTACCATCTGACCTCTTCTGAAAAAGTTTGCCAACCCTTGGTCTACAGCAGAAAAGTTGAGGCTGCAGCTCTGGGAGGCAGAGAGGCCAGTGATAGAGTGCCCACTCCAGTGCTCATTACTGGGTGACTCTGGGCATATTGCTATGGACTTCTGAGCCTCAATTTAGTTGTCTGTGAAATGAGATAATTATAATAGTTACTTCATGGGTTGCTATGACAATTAAGTGAGATGGTGCATCTAAAGTGGCTGGTACCTAAATAATAATAATAATCATTTACTATATGTCTTTGTTGTTTGCATTGCTGTGCCATGTGACTCTGTAGGCCCCTGCAGGGCTATCTGTCAGTAGGATATTTGTCTGATTCCCCAGCTGTCTCCTCACCCAGACCAAGAGTTCTCTAAGGATGGAAGAGTCTGTGTCTCCTTGCCCCTTGCATCCCCAGTCTGGTGCCTGTGCGTGCTCACTGGCTTGCTTGGGTCAGTGTTCCTCACTCCTCTTGCTCTGTGGACAGCTGAGAACAGGAGGACCATGAGGCCTTCCCCACACTGCATTCTCCTAAGTGGTCTCTCCACGTATCTGGGTGCCATGGGACCTTGATGAGCTGGGGGAGGCAGCCTCTCTCTGCAGCACTTAGCCAGATCTGTAGTGTCAAAGTGGTTTACACCCCGGCTGCTTACGGGGTGCCTCTGAGTCACTGAGGGACCCAGAGTAGCATCCAGATGTGCAGGAAGCCTATTTTTATCCTCTATTGCTCTCTCTTGCCCAGGAACCATCATTACCCTGGCGTAAAATGGCAGCTCCCAACAACAGGAGCCTCTTGGCCTCTCTGGCTGATGGGTGCCCAGCAAACTGCTCCAAGCCACCAGGCACGGAACCAAAATAGCTTCATGAGACAGTCGTCTATGCCTGGCCCTGCTGGGGCTCTCAGAATAGGGCTACCTTTGACCCTTTCTAACATTATCCACAGCTTTTCTTGTCTGGTCTTTTTTGAAGCAAAGATGAAGCCAGTCTCTAATTGATCTATGTCTGTAGTTCTCGGCTCTGCTTGGCAGCTGGACAGAGGTGCAGGGCCTCTGCCAAAGTCCAGCCAGTAGCTGCTCATCTTCATGGAACCATTGGTGCCCTGGGGCTCTGGGCTCACAAAGGAATGACACTAGAGGGTATCTAGGGCCAAGGAAGATGGTGATGTTTTGTCCCCACCCATGTCAAGCCCTCCAGTCAAATTCCCTCTCCCCTTTCCCATAGCTAGGAGATAAATCCCTGCTCTTCTGAATGGACAGATGAACAAGCTCACCTCTTATTTACCCATAACTGCCCTGTGGTGTGGGGGTCAGTGGATGAGAGAGAAAAATGCCCTAAATCACAATGCCGCATGCATAGGTTTAGAAGTTGGACAGCGTGAATCCAGTCCTGTGCTAGTTAACAACTGACTTCCTGGGGTTGGGGGACTGGCTCTTATCTGTGCCATTTAGTGATTCTCATGGTGTAAGTATCACCACCGTGGCTGTCTTCCAGGCACCAGTGTGACTATATGCACAGTTGGGAAAAGTGCACAGTGAGCTCTCAGAAGCCATCACACACCAGCTCCAACTCACCGCTGGTTCCTCAGCTCTGCCACTTGCTGCTTTGTGGTCTCGGCCAAGTTACTTAACTTCTCTGTTCCTCAATTTCCCTAAGTATAAAATGAGGATAATTCTAGTGCCTACTTAGGAAGATTATTGTAAGATTTAAATGACACATGCCTGGAAAACTTTTAGTGCTCTGCCTGGTACATAGTAAGCACTCAGTGGATTTTGGGTATAATTATTATCACTGGGCTTATGTTATTATCAAGTTCATAACTAGTTGGCAGAGCAGCATTCATGTACACACATGTATTCAGGTACATGTACACAGTCTCACAGTTGGATACAAGATAGTGACCACTAACGTGAAAGGCCAGGCAAAGAGAGATAAGCATTGGCTGGAGCAGCCCTGAGAGGCTTCCTGGAAGAGGCAGGGTCTGGATCTGGAAAAGAGTAAGTGGAAGGTGGGGGGCCAGAGAGCAGAGAGAGGGACATATGAGGACACAGAGATGGACAGTGGAAGTCAAAAGGAATGAGAGTTCCTCACAGAGACTAGATCCTAACTCACTATTAGTGTGGGCTTGCTGGTTCATGGAGGCTGAGCCTCCTGGGCCTCACAATGGCAAGGCCCAGAGGGGAAGTCCAGGCCATGGGGAGTCTGGAACAGGGCACCTGGACCCCCTGGGGTCCCTCTGGCAAGCAGTTTCCTAGGGAATTGGCTTGTACCCCCAAAAGCCCAGAGTTTTCAGAACTGCCTCCCTTCAGGCCTGCTGCCCCAGCACAGCCTGGCAGCCCTGACTCGAATAATTTTGAGTGATAATTATTGAGTGTATACAAAGGCCTGGTTTGTTTTCTCGCGCGGGTGGGGGCCAGGGTGGCTTTGTTTGGGCCGGGAATTGTCGCGGGGCCTCTGTTTAGCCAGCGCTGTCTCCTCTTTGTTAACATTCCTCACTCACTGTGGCTCCTCTTGGGCTGGAGAAGAGGGAGAAAAGGCAGCACCCGTGCCCTCCAGCTGCCGTGACCCTGCTCCCAGCAACTCACCCCCTGGGGAACTTTGGCCCTGCTTCCTTCTCACCAGACCCACCCAGGACAGGACCATGGGGCAGGCGGCTGACAGGCCCAGAAATAACCCAGTTCACCTGGCAGGTGCAAGACCACATCTCCGGCAACTGCTTTAAACAAGGGACCTTCCCGTTACCCACTGTGGGCTGAAAACAGTCATTAGATGTCACTTTCTGTGGCAGCCTTTACTCTCTTTGGGGACAGAGGGGATAATTACATACCTGGGCCTTCACTACCTTGCCCAGCCCTCAGGACAAATGCTACCTAGGTCCTCTCTGCCCTTGGAGCCCATTCCCACCCAGCACTTAAGCGGCTGACAAATGAATGTTTTCGCCTGTCCCTCGTTCACATAAATAGCCGCAAATTCCTATAATTAACTACAGTGAGCTAGGCTGGGATT